TTGCTATCAATCCCGATAAAGCACCAGGGCTAGATGGTATGACTAGTGTTTTCTACCAAAAATTCTGGGAGGTTTTATCAAAGGATGTCATTCTAATGGTCAAAGATTTCTTCACTTTGGATATGCTAGACCCAAAGCTCAACCAAACGAACATCTGTCTTATCCCGAAGACCAAACGACCGGCCGAGATGGCGCAGTTTCGTCCCATCAGTCTCTGCAAATGTAAGCTACAAGATAATATCAAAGATCTTGAGTTCGTGCCTAAAGAGATTCCTCCCGAAATTGATCTCGGAGTCACAATCAGCTTTCGTAGCTAGACGCCTCATTACGGATAACATATTGGTGGCTCAGGAAGCCTTCCATACTCTCCGGACTAACTCGATGTGCAAAACAAAATTTATGGCTACAAAGACCGATATGAGCAAAGCATATGATCGAATGGAGTGGAGTTTTCTGAAAGCTCTTATGCTGAAAATGGGCTTTAGCACCAAATGGGTAAACTGGATGTTAAAGTGTATTTCCTCGGTCTCCTACCAAGTTCTCCTCAACGGCGAAGCAAAAGGAAAGATACTTCCTACAAGGGGCCTGCGTCAGGGAGACCCACTCTTGCCCTTCCTATTCATTATCCTGACGGAATCCCTGATCGCTCAAATTAAGGGAGCAGAAGCAGAAGGAAAGATCACAAGGCTAAAAGTTGCTCAGACCTGTCCACCTATATCACATCTTCTCTTTGCAGATGACAGCCTTTTCTTCTGCAAAGCAGAGACAGCTGAATGCGAAGAACTTATGCGTATTTTAAATAGCTATGGTAGAGCATCCGGACAGCAACTAAACTGGGAAAAATCCTCCATTCTCTTCGGAAGCAAAGTTCCCCAGTTCAAGAAAGTAGAAGTTAAAAGAGCATTGGGGATCTCCTCACAAGGAGGGATGGGGACACATCTTGGGATCCCTGAACAAATCAGCGGCTCCAAAAAGAAGGTTTTTGCCTATATACAAGATCGACTAAGCCAGCGCCTCAACACGTGGTCGGCAAAACTCTTGTCAAAGGGGGGCAAAGAAGTTCTGATTAAGTCGGTAGCACAAGCATTACCAACTTATGTCATGTCATGTTTTCTACTCCCCCAAGATCTTATTAAGAAACTTCAGGGCGCAATAGCAAAGTTCTGGTAGAGTACAAAAGGACTTAACAGAGGTATGCATTGGGTAGCATGAGAGAAAATCTGCCTCAGCCAAGAGAAAGGGGGGCTGAGATTCCGGGATCTCAAATGATTCAATCTGGCCCTACTGGCCAAGCAGCTGTGGAGATTAATCCAATTTCCATCGTCCCTCCTGGCAAAAGTGATGAGAGCCCGCTACTATAGATACTCGGAACCTTTGGAAGTTGAGAGAGCCAATAATCCCTCATTTGGTTGGAGGAGCATGATAGCAGCTAAACAGATCCTACAAAAAGGGATGCGCTTTTCTATTAACTCGGGTATAAGTACCAGAATTTGGTATGATAACTGGCTACCAGTAACCCCACCCCGACCGGTGATAGGACGTGTCCAAGACCTTAACCCGGACCTATATGTGCACCATTTGATAGATCCTGACACGGCAAGGTGGAGAGTGGACCGGCTGGAGCAACTGATAGATCCGGAAGATATTCCGCGTATAAAGAGTATCAAGCCTAGCAGAATATATAGACCGGACCGTCTGGTATGGGCCTATACTAATTCTGGGCGTTATTCTGTGAGAATGGGATATGAAATAGCTCTGGATTTGAAGGAGGAAGGGAATACCCAACAGATAAATGAGCCAAGCTTTAATCCCCTAAAAAATAAGATATGGTCCATTAAGACATCGAGGAAGCTGAAGCACTTCCTATGGCAAGCCCTCTCCGGATTTTTAGCGACAAACTCCCAGCTGGCAAACCGCCAATGCAGTACTGATAGACAATGCCAATGATGTGGAGCGGAGGAAGAAACAATAACCCATGTCCTGTTTGAATGCCCACCAGCTCTACAGACATGGGCCCTAAGCGATATCCCATCAATTCCGGGGTTTTTCCCGTGCACATCTGTCTCGCAGAACCTAGCTTTCCTCCTGGATCGATTAAGAGAACAAGGGATGCCAAAGGGGATACTAGAAACATTCCTATGGATTATCTGGTATATCTGGAAGGCAAGGAATGAGAAGGTTTTCAACGATAAAGAGATACTCCCCGCAGAGACACTGGAGATCGCTATACACGAAGCTGAATCCTGGAAAGTTGCTCAGGTAGTAGGAACAATGGAAGAAACAAGTATAGAGATAAACTCCCAGACAAGCCACCCAGCGAGTACCGACTCATCACAGATCTACCCGCAATGCCAAGTAGACGCGTCGTGGGTACGAGGAGCAGATACGTACGGAGGCGGTTTTCTTCTGGAAATAGGGGAAGGACAACGATTACTCGGGCTTTGGGCACAAGATAGCAGGCAATCTCCCCTCTTGCAGAGTTTGAAGCCATCCTAGAAGCTATGAAGGCAATTGCGAACCTCCAAATTCGATCTATACACCTCGAGACTGATTGCTTACAACTGGTAAAGATGATCGATGAGGAGGAAGAATGGCCAGCTTTCGCTACAGAATTAGAGGATCTCTCATTCTTAAAAGAATCGTTTCAACAAGTGCTTTATCCCTAGATTACGAAATGTCTGTGCTGATTATCTCGCGAAAAGTGCTCAAGCACGAGGTTACTGTTTTTCCCATGTAAACTCGACCGTTCCAGAATAGTTGACTCTTGAATCCAATCTTTTTGGAATAATTTAATACATGGTGAAGTTTAGACGAAAAAAAAAAGATTAACTTCTAGAAGTTCTTAATTCAAACATCTCACATTGAAAAAAGCCGACTCCAAAAATGGCACTTAATTTTCGTAAATACGTGTTTTCAACAGTTTTGTTTGCATTTTTTCGGTTTACGATGAAGCTCAATACTCTTTTTTTTTGTTCTTTTTCAAATGATAAAAGCTTATCATGTTTGACAAATCACATTAAAAAATAAGGGATATGAGCTGTAACACTGGGCATGTTTTTTTTTATAATGTTAGTCATGATTATGTTCACATAAGTATCGGTTATGATAATGTTAGTCATGAATCATGTTTGACTATGTTCACATAGGTTTTCTCAAAGGGTCCTAAATGAAACGAGATAATCAAAAGAATAAAAACTTGTAGATAAGTTTCCACACGGGAATAGTGATCGGTGAGCCATAAACTAATAGATTTGATGATTTCATTTAAGATTTCTCTCTCATTTTTCTATTAGTAAATGGGATGATTTCATTACCAAAACTAATAGATAACTCGACTACTCGAGTTTACACGATATATTTGCAGTTATCAAAACTAGTTTTGTATATTGTGGTATATTTCATTCTCCTTAACTTTATTAATACTTCAAAAAAGTAGAAAATTTGGATATAAAAAATGTCGTTGTTTGGAGATGTCCCCGTAGTATATTACTAAAACAATAAGTTATTGGTTTATTACGTTATTTAATGGCCGACTTCATTATAATAACGCGCCTTTTGTGTTGGAGGTCCAGAAAAAAACATGAAGCATTCCATTCGATCAATGATGATCTGCATGATATGTGGACGACCAAAAGTTCCCCTTTGGATCTCACTCACTTTTTATAAGATCTAAGTTTGTATTAAATGGTTTTTTTGCATTTATAATTAATTAAGTTTCATTTTTTCTTGGGATCCCCACCTTAGTTAAGTTATTCACACAAATGTTGGGGATTTAAAAAACAGAATTGCTACTTGGAGATTTTAACTAAATAAATTGTAATAAACAGATAGATTGCTTCAGGGTTTACTCGTACAAAACCCAGGAAAGCACTTTACACACGAGTTGGCTTTTTTTTTGTTGTTAATTACTTAATTATATATGTTGTTAAAAGTTTGGGGATATTGATGAAAAAATCTATGTCGCGGTAATATCATGTATGGCTAATAACAAAAAGAAACTTATATTTACAAGTGTGATACGAATCCTTAAAGCCTAGCAAGAGTAAATGGAACCAATCTTTACAATCAATTCATTTTAAACATTTTTTTGTGAGGATTCAAGTTTGATGATGAATGACCATTTCAATATTTTATGAATTACGATCAATTATTTGGATAATATTTTCCTCCAAATTGTCTAATTTCTAAGGTTTCAAAATATGTACACTAGATATATATGCCTTATATTATTATATTCTAAGAAAGGTTGCATGCATTGTCGAGAAATCGAAATTGAGTCTTACACTCTTAATAAAAAGCCTGACCAAATCCTATCTGGTTGGCCGTTGACTTTTCGTCTCCTTAGTCTTTGGAACCTGTGACGCTCAAACACGACATAGGCAATTCGATTATCTGATTTATTTTTTAATATAAAGATTATAATTAAAAGTCTTCTTCTTACAGCTAGATTTTCTTGGCTAATGAGATAACCATCAATATATATATTTGATGTCAATACAAGATTTTCTCTTATGATTTTTTAGATACAAACCGACCTTAGCTCAGTTGGCAGAGCGGAAGACTGTAGTTGTTTACAACAGATGATATTTAGGTCGCTGGTTCGATTCAGGCAGGTCGGATCTTTTTTGCTAATTTCACCATTACTGTATATCCTCCGATCAATCACTAACTTTACAAAGTAAAAAAAAAAAAAAAAAGAAAGAAGATATATATACTTGGATACGGGGTTATAATAGTCATCTTCGAAGATGATAATCTGCAAGTCTTGTTAAAAATGTTGATTAGAATTTAAGCGAATTTAACTTCTCTTGCGTTCAACCATCTATGTTTAATTTCGACAGATTTATTCAACCACAAAAGGTCTAAAAGCCCATAATTATAGGCTTATTCGGCCCGGCCCATATAGATTACAGATAGTCGCACATTGTCAAATAAGTCTCTCACGGACACAAAGCAGTCATCGGAAACATAAGTAAAACTGATTTTGCTTGTTGGATCCGATGGCTCCTTCGAGCGAGACAGCAACCGTACGAGTCCTTTGCCCAAAGCTGGTTCTCTCTAAGAACCAACCCGGAACTCTCCAATGGCTCATTGGTTCCCCATTTTTCCCGCCTTTCACCGTCGTCTCCACCTTCCGATGCATTCATCACTCTCCTGATTTCGAGCAAGAATCTGGTAAGGAGAAAGCCGTTTTCTACACTGGTCTTGGGATTAGCTCATATGGATCAATGGAATAGGATGTTGAATTGCATGTTTCCTGTTTTTTTCTTCGATAAGGTGAAGAAATTTTATGGATCAAGTACCCAATTTTCGAATTTTTAGTCTCAGTCGTGATTATATAAGCCAAAATCTTCAAACTTATCCTTATTTTCGCCGTTTCATTGTTCATAAAATTAGTTTTCTGTGTGCATTGTTTCTGTGACTGATTCACGATGCTTATTAATAAACCTTTGTTGAATCCTTCTACACCAAGAAGTTCAAAATAATCATCTTTTTGATGAAACAATCAGATGATCTCCGGAAGTTGTTACCGAAAGGCTTTGAAGTCATCGGAGGTCTGATAGTTGGGGATTCCGACGCTGAGAAAAGCGCGCTCGAGGCGGTTAAAGCAGCTCGGAGATTGCGGAAGCATATATCTGAAGGTGGAGAGTTAGATGATGAAAAGATAGTTGTGGCTAGCTGCGATGCAGTAACCGGTACCATCCACTTCTTCACCTCCAAAACAGAGAACTCAACGAAGCTAGAGCCTGTTGCTTCTGTTGTCTATGAGAAAAACTCTGGAAAGTATCTATGGGAGAACGGCTGCTTGCTTCACTGTGAGGTTCCTATCAAGCTGCCGTTCTATTTCCCCGCGAGCTCTCCCTCCGGTATGATCTCAGTGTCGTTTCTTGTTCTCAGTTCTTGGTCGTATGTGTTTCTTGTTGTTTCTAAAGTTTAGTGATATCTTTTTTTTTTGGTTTTCCAGATTCAAAGGAGATGTTTTCAGATGCAATTGATGCAGTTATCACTGAGTTTAAAGAACCGTATGCTGTATACATAGCAGAGACTTTAAAGAAAGCTTCTGGAGATGTTGCAAAGCCTGTGGTCCTCCGTGGTAAAGATTTTGGTTTTGGTGCTGATGCGTCGAACATTAACCGTCTTCCTGCTGCTGATCAAGTATCTGACGTTAACATGTTATCATGCTCGCATCTGTGTGTGAACAGCAAAACTGCTGCAGTTGCTAATTCAGCAGAGGTAAGTGAAACAGAGAGTTTTTTCTTACTTGGTATTGCTGTTGAGCCTTGCTTTTGTTTCTCCTCCCCCCTGAGAAATTTCTTCTTCTTAGCTTGCAGATAAAATCAACGTATCTGTTGTGCTTAATAGATCTGAAAAAGCTCCAACATCTGGTGCCCCTGCTGCAGAATATTTTCCAGGTAATCATTTTATCAACCATATATACTAAGAATACGCTTGTGCACTGTTCTCATATCTTGAGTTGTAACTTTTTCTTACAGCAATGGAAGAAGCAAGGCTCATTGTTGTTGATTTGAATCTTGATGTGCTTACTTACGCAACTAAGGAACTTCCACTAATGCACGCTGTCTCGAATTTAGTTATCCCTGCTTTGGTTGATCAGCTATATTCACTGAAGAAGATTATCTTACCACACCTCTTGAAGGAACATCCTCAGGTACGGCTATCTTTAAATCCTAAGCAATATTTCCAATGGTGAGATGAGATGGCCTTAGTTATCTTTTGTAATGCCATTCTTCTTTGAACTATTTATACTTTTCCTGAATTGTCTATATCGCTTTGTTCTTACAGTTGCGTATTTATCACTTCAATCCACCTGGAGTGTTACATCCAATAACGACTATATACGAGCTTAACTATGGGGAGACTGAAATGAAGCAAGGTAATTATTGTGAATAGGTTCAAAAGTGGGCTATCATAGATAGATTATTCCCTTTTTCAGTAGATTTGAAGGTATCTATTGGAAAGCTTCAGAACTATCAACTTAGCACTCTGCTATTTTATTGAACTAAATTTTGATCCTCTGAAACTTTCACTGCAGTCTCATTCGCTTTGTGGATGATATTATGATATTTAATATATGTGGCTCTTGCTCTGGACTGTATTTGCAGTCGATGTTAGGAAATCTCTACACATGAGGCTTGGTCTGCCTATTGATCGTCCACTTCTAAGAACTGCTAACGCCTTGGATCTTTCTGTGAATGATGACTCGAAGAGTAACATCAAGAAAAGAGGTAGATAGATCTGCCTAGTTTCTTATTTTCTCTCTCTTTGTGTCTCTCAATATATGCCATGACTCTAATTGTTAAGCTACGTGGGCAATGTCAGGTTCCATCTTGCTCAAAGATGTGCATATTGGAATACCGAGTAGCGGAGGTTAGCACTATGTATGCCATTGCGTTTTGTCGTTCATCCTTTGTTCTGCTTTATTCGTTCTATTTAAAATTTGCAATGTTTGATGCAGTCTCGGAGGGTGTGGCATCTCTTATCCAAGGTTCTTATGAGTATCATCATTATCTTCAGGATGGCTTTGATGACTCGGTATATCACTTCTCATTCTTCCATGGTTTGTGTCAATGTAATAACCTGTTACTACCTGAGGATGTGGGAAATGAAACAAAACCATAGCAGAAGTTAGGGAATTAGTCGCTCTGTGATATTTTACTGGAATCTTGAACAGCCCTTTCACCTGAAACTGGAGTTCCTAAACGATCACTGGCACGATATCTGGTTGCGCTTCAAGATTTATGTTTTATTGTAGAGAGTTAGATATAATGTCTCTGTACTTCTAATACTAATTGGATCTTGTTGTGCCAGGGGTGGGGTTGTGCTTACCGGTCATTGCAAACTATCATCTCGTGGTTCAGGCTTCAACACTATACATCCATCTCTGTACCTTCACATAGGTATGAAACAGTTTCTCCTGAATAAAACTCTGAACTCTTCCTCATCTCTCGATTTGCCAAGTACCACCTTTTGTTTTTTCAGGGAAATTCAGCAGACACTCGTGGAAATAGGTGACAAGGATCCTTCATTTATAGGATCACGCGAGTGGATTGGTGCCATAGAGCTGAGTTTTGTTCTGGACAAACTTCTTGGTGTAAGTGTTCTTCTACTTCTAAACTTCCTTATTCAGATATATATTCTGACATGTGTGAACCACTTAACGCAAGATCCAATAGTAGAGTTTTCAACATCAACCCATAATTGCAGCTGTAAAAGTCTAAATCTTTAGAGAAAAATCTGGTAGAAAAAACACATTCCAACATACATTATTGACATTTTAAAAAAACTCTTGGTCTTATTTTTACAGGTAAGTTGCAAAATCATGAACTTCAGATCTGGATCGGAGCTTCCAGAGAAATGCCGTGAGTTAGCTATGCACTTTGAGACCCAAGGAACTCCAATAATGATAGGTAACTCAAGCGAAATCACTCTGATACTTTACACCTGCACAAGCTTGTCCTTTAGAATCAAAGACTGGTGTGAATAGCCTTAGATAGTCTGGATATGAAAAGCACAAGTGAAGCTTAAACCCTATATATAATAAAGGATCACTCTACTAATCTATAATGTATAGCTAAAAACCTCTAAGAGGAATCTGATTAGATCCAAAACCGGTGAACTCAACTTTGGCTTTGACATCACAAATTGTGGTCTCTTGTATCTTTCAGGAGGTGGTGTTCTTGCATACACGCTTTTGGGAGTGGATTACGATGAAGATAGCGGAGATTGTGCGTTCCTGATCCTGGATCCGCATTATACAGGAGGTGAGGATCACAAGAAGATCGTCAATGGTGGATGGTGTGGCTGGAAGAAAGCTGTTGATAGCAAAGGGAAGAGCTTTTTCTTGCACAATAAGTTCTACAATCTTCTTCTTCCTCAGCGACCTAACATGGTTTGATTGATTTTCCCATTCTGTTGCATACCAACAATTACATTTTTTGTCTTTTTGTTTTTGAAAATAATTACTTCTTTTTTTGCTAATCACAGTTTTGTTGATTTTCAAAGTGTGTGGTACCTGAAATAGACTTATGTTTTCTATAAATGAAACTTTAGCTGGGATTTTGTTGTGCTTTTGTGAATTTTTAAATCATTTGATTTTCTAAATCCACCAATTTGTTTCTAATATTAATGGAGTTTTAAAGAAATTTAGTTCCAGTTGATTTTCTTACAAAATAAGTCCAGTTAAACCAAAATGAGATTAATCCATTAATTTTAGGGGGAATTGTTGAATATGACTCAAAACTTGAGTTGAAATACAAAATTAAATCCTCTATTACATGAAGAAGTATATTTTCTAATAATTTGTTTACATTTAATTTTAAAAATCATGAAAAATAATTTAATAAAAACAATTAGATATATAACACAAATATATATACTTTTTACACCTTTTAAAAATACAATTTGATACAAAATAATTAATTTGAATCATCATAGATAAATTATGATATAAATCAACATTAAGTAAACTTCTTGAGTAGATTTTTCCAAAATATTTAAATCATCTATTTCTCTAATAATTTGTTTACAACTAATTTTAAAAATCATGAAAAATAATTTAGTAAATAAATTATATATGTAACACAAATATATACTTTTTATACCTATTAAAAATAAATCATAAAAATAATTTAGTAAAACAATTATATACACAACTAAAAACAACTAGCATCTATATAAAATAAAATTCATGAAAATGAATCAATTTATAACTTTCATGAGTATACAATTCAAAAGAGTTAGGGTTGAGGTTTATGGTTTATGGTATAAGAGTGTAATTCTTAGGATTTGCACAAATTCTATATGAATCATAGTTTATGGTTTGGTTAATGAATTAGGATTCATATATTTGTTATTTTAAATGTGATTGTCAATATGATAATCAAGTTTATGTTTTCATATAAGTTTTAATACAAAAAAATTGATTTAGTGTTTAAGGATAAGCAGATTTCCTGAGTAGACTTCTCGAGTAGACTTCTAGGATCGAAGTAGACTTCTCAAGCCGAATTAATCTTCTCCAGCAAACTTCTCGAGTAGACTTCTCCAATAGACTTCAAAAAGAAGATTTCTCCAGTAGACTTCTCGAGCAGACTTCAAAAAGAAGTCTACTTAAACAAAAAATTTTCTACATATATAAGGAGAGGTTAACCTAATTGTATTAACAATAAAGTCTCTCTCTATCTCAAAAAACGCCTCTCTCTCTTCTCCCTTCTCTCTGGCCATGAATTTCTTCTCCTTCCTCTCTTGCTGTCAATCTCCTCTACATCCTCTCTATCTTGCTTTCAACCTCCTCTCACTTGCATGTTATGGTAGTGGTAAGCAAATCTGAGCTTTTGTGTTCCTCTTTTTGTTTGCTTCGTGTTCATATTGCAAATCTGAGCTTATTATTATAGATTTGAGCTTATTGTTGTAGATCTAAGTTTATTTGCAGATCTGAGTTTATTGTTGTATAATTTTTTTAGATTTTGTTGTAGATATGAATTTTGTTGCAGATCTAATTTTTTTTGTTATTGTTGCAGAGCTGAATTTTGTTGATTTTTTGGCAGATCTGAATGTTATAAATATAGTAGATTATGTTGCAAATCTAAATTTTAACATATCTCTTTTCTTATTGTTGCAGATCTGACCTTATTTATATTTATGATTTTGTTCAACAGATCTCAAGAAAGCTTTTGCTTGTCTCTGCCGGATTTAAGTGATTTGAAGGTTCAAAACGTTTATTATACGGCGCCATTGGTCAGAATCAGACTTCAGTCGTAGACTTCTCGAGCAGACTTCTCGAGTAGACTTCTCGAATAAACTTCCCGAATAGACTTCCCGAGCAGGCTTCTTGAGCAGACTTCTCGAGCAGACTTCTCAAGCAGACTTCAGTTGCAGACATATTTCTCAGATATTTTAGTTTAGTAGTGATTTCTTATGCCAATTTTAAGATTTATAATCAGTGATCCTTAAATGTTTGTTTGTTTAGAGGGTTATATTCTATGTAATGGTTAATTTCATTGAATGTTTTGTATCATATTCCTAAATTATGTATTTTTATGTATTCTACAAAATAGACTTCACTGTCAGACTTCATATTCAGACTTCTCTAATAGACTTCTCTTGTCCCGAGTAGACTTATCTTGTTAACTGAGTACACTTCTCCTGCCTCGAGTAGACTTTTCCTGTCTCGAGTAGACTCTTAAAGACATTAATTTTACATAACTTAAAGGTGATTCATAATGACATTTCCCCCATTTATATGACATAGACTTCTCATGTCTCGAGTAGACTTCTCGAGTAGACTTCTCCTGTCTCAAGTAGAATTTTTAAAAACATTAATTTTACATAACTTAAAGGTGATTCAAAGGGATATTTCCCCCATTTATATTACATAACTTGTCAACCGAGTAGACTTCTCTTGTCTCGAGTAGACTTCTGAAGTAGACTTCTCCGTTCTCGAGTAGACTTCTTAAAGACATTAATTTTACATAATGTAAAAGTGATTCAGAGGGACATTTCTGCCATTTATATTACAGAACTTGTCAACCGTGTAGATTTCTCTTGTCTCCAGTAGAATTCTGAAGTAGACTTCTCTCCAGTAGACTTCAAGTACATAGTAGACTTCTCCACTTGTTCAGATTCAATCAGCACCATCATTGAATCTTTACGTAATAATATGAGACTATATAACGACTTGGCAGGAGATAAAACAATACACAACAAGTACAATGTAAAGATTAACTTTAGGAAGTAGACTTCTCACAGGTCACTTTTGCAATTGAAAAATCTTTGACTTTTTAGAGAACTCTTTAGCTTCTTTTCTGGTCAAGATCTTCGATTCTAGCCACCATGAAAGAGACACAACCGTAAAAAACGACCAACTCGCCAGAATATAGAAATATATATGAACTTCAACATTTTAATAGTCAAATTATAGAGTTTTTGGGAAGAAAATAGAGATAAAATGAAAGTATAGAAGCTTAAGAGAAAGATAATGAGTTATCCAAGCTCAAAAAGGGGGTTTTGGTGCCATTAAAGCTCGAAATTGGTTGAAAATGGTGGTTGGGTGAATTGATGATGATGAATTTTTGTAAATAAGTGAGAAAGATGATGATTATTTGGTCAATTGGATATCCCAAAATAAAAGAAATTAATTTAAAGTAGTGGCAATATCGTAAATAATTGAAACTGAGAAGGATTGTTTGGACACAAAATGGCTAATGCTAAGAGGGTGAATTTTGTGGGTTAGATTTATATTTTAACTCAAATTTTGGGTCATTTTTGCAAAAATCCCTTAATTTTAAGGTTATTAGAAATTTCATGATTAATTTAGTCCCCTTAGTAGTTGTTTGGACTATCTTATGGATTTTATATATACTCAATCTAGGGTTTTGGGGGCTCCGGGTGGCGATGCTACTATGATGGAAGTGGGGGAGAGGAGTCAAGCCCCCGGAGATCCGCCGGATGGCTTGGTGTCTTGGGTAAGCAAAGTGATTGGCAGCAACGCAGGGGGAGTTCTGAATCCTGAGGATGTGGTAGATGATGAGTTTGTTAGAGCGAGATAGCGATTGGAGTTTCCGAATGGGGAGGATGGCGAGCCAGTAATCACGATCGAGAAGGAAGTTTTGGAGGCCATGAATGGGTTGTGGCGGAAGTGTATGATTGTGAAAGTGCTGGAGAGAAACGTTGCCCTACCGGTGCTGAGTAGGAATCTGAGAGAGATGTGGAAATCGAAGGGAGCGATGCACATTATGGATCTCTCCCGATGATGCAGCGCATCTTACGGATTTGGACCTTTGAAGATGAACACATCTATTGGGTTTAACGTGTTCGTGACAGTTGATTTAATTGTTTAATTAGGTTTTCTTTTATTTAAAATAATTATAAATCTTTGTAGATTAAGGTGAGAAAGATACGAATCTACTTTGCATAGTATAAATAGGATGTTAAATGGCTTGTAAAGGATATTTTTGATATTGAATAAGAACGATTAAGAGCTTTTTAGCACTAAGAGGAGTACTCTTGCCCCTATTGTTTCAGTAGAGATTATATCTTCTTAAACAAGATCTGAGTTAGGCTTCGTGTTCTCCTGGAGATAGCGATCCCTCTCTTGTTATAGCTTCCGCCCCCTATCAGTTGGTATCAGAGACAACGATTCTGTCAATTGATTCTATGCCAATCATGTCATCAAAACATCTCTGAAACTTCCAAGCTAAGGAAAGCCGTGTTGACGAATGAGCTGGGACTTGTCAGACCTTCTTTGTGATGCTGGAGAAATTTGAGGTTTCAACTTGCAAATCGATTCAGCAACGTTGTGAATCAGAGCATGGGTTGGGTTGTGACAAAGACATCATGGACAAAACCGTCTATGCTGTTTATGGAGAGATAATCGGAGATCCAATTTTTGATGTGTATTACGAGGAGGATCCAATTCACGATATCAACAACGATTTTGATGTTCAAGAGGAGGAATACCGAAAGCTTGCACCAATAAAACGTGTAGCATCCGTATCCGAGAAAATGTGGAATGATCGTACTGGACAGGGTGTTGTCCGAGGAATAATCGAGCCAAGGGTTGGATATCGGCTGGGAAATGGAGGTTTGGACTATGGTCGGGTGATGACCGAGGAAATAGTCGGATGGTGGCTGGATAGCCGAGCCGGATGGACCATATCCGAGGGAAAACAGGGTCATGTCCGTGGGAAATGGGATTTATCCGAGTGCAATGGGTCCGAGGGTCTGGGAAGTTAGTCCGAGTGTCAGTGGACTGTCTCCGAGGGAGTAAGGGAAACTTCTGAGAGAAATAGAGGATTAGCCGACATGGGACAAGTTGTCCGAGAGAAATAGGAATATCTGGGTGAAAAATAGAAAACACCTCGGATAAGGGCGGTTTATCCGAGTGGAAAGGGATTTGGACTGTGGGCCAAGTGTTTGGTCGGCTATTTTGTGGTTTATCGAAGGAATGGTCGAGCCGGTACAGGAAATAGCCGAGAGAATTGAATCAGACCGGGATAAAAGTTACTGGAACCAGGAAAACATCAGATAAGTCCGGGTTATCTAGGTTTTGCGAGTTTATAAGGGATTTTGAGACTTTTCTCGGGAGAGTTGTGTTTATTCGAGAGCAATAAAGCAAAGAAAGAGAATAATCGAGAGAAAACCCTAAGAAAAACAGTTTATCCCGAGGATATCCGAGAGAGATTAGGTTATCGCCGAGCAGATCCGACCATCGCCGATATAAACTGGTAAGCGATCGGATATTTCCCTAAGTGTTGAGTTTTCATCGGATAACCTCGAGCTAATAACCTTGTTTTGTGGGGTTTCTGAGGGAAAATAGAGTTTGGCTCGAAGAAAGGTGAACGGATCGAGAGATAGCCGAGGGGATAAGGATCAGATCGTATCGGGCAGCCGAGAGATTCTTAGGGAGATCAGATATCTTCGTTTTGGTGCGGTTTTCATCAGGATTTCTTCTGACCAATCTGTTTCCAGCCTTGTCTAAGGTGAGTGCGTGACTGTGGTTGGTGTCTAGGACCGTAGGATTGCTAGGGTTGAATGTTTGCATGTTGATTGTGTGATTTTCATTTTATGTGTTTAGAACTGATAAGCAATTCGTATGTTATGATATATTGTGGTGTTTACTGTGGCATCTATGATGTTTAGCTAACCTCAGGGTAATCCGGATCATGTACTAGCTTAGGGGATGTGGGATTCTCGCTGAAGTAGACATGGATCTTAAAAAGGGATTGAACTTGGTTGGTTAAGTTAGATGATCATGGCCGTTTGATATTGTTATGTCTATTGCGAATTGATTGTGTTGAATGTTGAATCCGAAAGTATAATTGCGTGTTTGGTACTGACCAGGTGTTACGGAATGACCATACTCACTAAGTATTTATGAAATACTTATGCCTCTCATCTTGAGTGTGCAGGTACTAAGCAGTAAAGGGGCGAGACCAGGCGGCAGTGATGGATATGGATGGATCGGGACTGGGTTTTATTTATGTTTAAGACGTTGTGCTTTGTCTTATGGCTTTGGTGTTTGACTAGTTAGGTTGCTAGATGATCGTTTGTATTCATTAGCGAACCATTGTGATTTGTTTAAGTTAGCCCCGAATCCTGTTTAAGTGTTTTATGAAAGTTAAATGAATGAAATGAGTTGCTTTATATTCCGCTGTGTATTGATAAGAAAGAATAAGAATGAAGAAAAAGTTTAAAAATATGGCTAAGTATAGAAACAGACTTAGAGGATGTAGTGGGACACAGCCGCGGTACGGTTTACCGGGTTGGGTTACCACAAGTTGGTATCAGAGCGTTTTAATGCTTCTAGGACTGAAATTGGTGACTGCTGTTGTTTGTTTGTTTGGGGTTTATGGGGGTCCGATCCATTCTTCACTGCCAAGGTCTCGCGGTAAGTTGTTTTGTGGTGTTGTGAAACACGTTTTGAGTTAGCTTCGGCTAACTGGCATTGTGTACTTGCAGATGGTTGATACTAGAAGAACCGTGAGAAACAATGGGGACAACCAGGCTGCGGGGTCTGTGAACTCAGTCAACGGTGATGTTGCTGAGAGGGCAAGGGAAGCCGAGAGACAGGCAGCTGCGGTTGCAAATGAGGCGGCTAGAGTGGCAGCCGTGGAAGCAGCAAGGAATGCTGCAGATGCTGAGAACGGGGCTAGGAATGCTGCGGGTGCAGCTGGGGTTGCTGCGAATGTAGCACCAGTGGGGTTAGAGGCTATGCTTGGGGTGTTAGCACAGGTACTAGCTAGGCTACATGCGGTGGCTCCTGCTCCGGCGGTTGCAGCAGCACCACAAGTAGTACCACCGGTGGGGGTTCACGCGGATGTGATTGGGGAGGAAGCGGACCAAGTGGAGAGGGTTCCGAGTTACCTCAAGGTTTTGGATCACATGGTGCGGTTGGGAACCAAGTTCTTTGCTGGAGGTTCTACACCGATTGAGGCAGATGAGTGGAGGATGAGACTGGAACAGAATTTTGAGTCTATCCGATGTCCAGAGGGTTACAAGAGAGATATAGCCGTGCACTACTTGGAGGGTGATGCACAAACGTGGTGGAAATGAATCGTTGGAAGGATGGTGAATGCGAATTGTTCTTATGAGACATTTTCAGCGATGTTCAGGAGTAAGTACTTCCCACAGGAAGCTTACAACGAGTTGGAGAAGGCGTTCTTGTACCTTAGTCAGGGGACGCTTACAGTGAGGCAGTATGAGACTCAGTTTAACCAGCTGAGGAAGTATGTCTCTCATGAGTTTGACACGGAAGAGAAGCTGATTCGCAGGTTTATGAGTGGACTGCGATTTGAGCTAAGGAATAGGTGTGTTGTTCGTGACTTCAGGACAGTTGCTGAGCTTGTTGAGAAGGCGGCATTGTTGGAGTCAGGACAGGCGGAAGCTGCGTTGATGTCTGCTGGGGCTAGTACAGCCGTGACCAAGGCGGATCAGTGTAGTGTACAGAACCGGAAGTTTGGGAAAGGAGTACTGAACAAAGGATCTGAGGGACGCAGTGTGTGCAGCAAGTGTGGCAAGGCTCACGTTGGCGAGTGTAGGCGCGGTGGTAGTGGATGCCACAAGTGCGGGAATTTAGAGCATCGGGTACGAGACTGTCCAGAGGAGGATCAGAGAGTGGTCCGTGTGTCCGGCAGTGATGGTGCGGTTCGGGTTTGCTACGGTTGTGGAGAATCAGGGCATTTCAAGCGTGAGTGTCCTAAGGCGGGAGTGGTGGAGCAGGCCGTGGCTCAAGGGAAGAGAGCAGGGGAGGCGCTTGCATCACAGGCCAAGAGACATGCCATTATGTTGAGGGTGTACACGACGAGTGCAGCAGCAGCCGAGGAACCGAGCACTTCTCATCCGATTACTGGTACATGTGGTACATAGGTTTTCTTTAAAATGCTTTTCTGTGTTGTGTGTTAGTATAGAGTCTTAGCATTCTAGGGAATGAATGTGTAGGGACCTTGCTAATGGGTGAGGTTGAGACCCATGTTCTGTTTGACTCGGGAGCGAGTCATTGTTTTGTTAATTCGGACATGATCGGAAAGGGACAGTTCCAGAAGGAACCCGGAGAGGACTTTGGGTTAGTACAGGCGGCTGGAGGCCAAGTGATGTTTTCATTAGGAACGGTTAAGAATGTTCCAGTGATGTTTGGCGAAGGGAACATGCCAGCGGATCTAGTGATCTGTAGGGTTAAGTCCTACGATGTCATTTTGGGAATGGACTGGTTAGGCAAGCACAAAGCTCACTTGGATTGTCACCGTGGAAGGGTGCGGTTTGAGAGAGACGGAGAGGTCTTGATTTATCAGGGAGTTAGACCAACCTAGGGAAGTTTGGTGGTTTCAGCAATTCAAGGAGAACGGCTGATAGAGAAAGGTTGTGAGGCGTATCTAGCAACAATCACTACTACAGAAGGAGGACCGGATGTAGACTTGTGCAGTATACCGGTGGTGCAGGAATTCGAGGATGTTTTTCAGGCGTTGGCAGGACTGCCACCAGCTCGTTCAGATCTATTCACGATTGAACTTGAGCCGGGGACAGCTCCATTGTCCAAAGCACCATACCGGATGGCGCCAGCAGAGATGGCGGAACTGAAGAAGCAGCTAACGGAGTTGTTGGACAAAGGTTTCATTAGACCCAGTAGTTCACCATGGGGAGCACCAGTGTTGTTCGTGAAGAAGAAGGATGGAAGCTTCAAGCTTTGCATTGATTACCGCGGATTGAACCGTGTGACCGTGAAGAACAAGAATCCACTTCCCAGGATAGCCGATTTGTTGGACCAACTCAGGGGAGCTACTTGGTTCTCTAAGATCGATTTGGCATCAGGGTACCATCATATACCCATAGAAAAAACAGACATGCGTAAGACTGCCTTTAGGACAAGGTATGGTCATTACGAGTTTGTGGTCATGCCGTTTGGTTTGACGAATGCGCCAG